TCAGTCTGCTTCTGTGCAGCCGAGAGCTGCTGGGCCAAGCTGTCCCCCGAATCCCCCGAAGAGGCCGGTCTGGGACACAGGGGCATATTAAGGAACTGAACTTTGTCGGCATCAACCAGACACATGCAGTAACGCCGTAGCGTGTAAGGCGGAGGCAGCTTCTCCACAGGTCGTATAAGCATCGCTGGCTAGTCGAGTACCTACAGACCCGGGAGGGGAGGCACGGTTCGCCCTGCCGGGTGGAGGCGGTATTAGGACACAATTGCATCGCAACCGACCGCTCCACTGGGGGACCCCCTTATACCCCCTGGCTGCACCACCATTGAGGGTGGTGAGGGAGGAGGAACCAGCAGATCGGTTTCCGGCAGTAAAAGTTGCCGTCCATGACCTGGTGAGCTCCTCATGCACCTCCGGGAAGAAAGGCACCGAGGCGGGGCGCTGAGAACCAGCGCGAGCCACCCCGAGAAACCAACTGTCCAGCCTCGAGGGTTCGGGACGCGGTGGAGATTTCCACTCGAGCCCTACCCTCTCGGCAGCCCGGGAAAGCATAGCCGACATCTCCGGATCCGATTCAGGCCTTGCCACTGCCCCGGAGGGAGGCAGCGCAGCCGAATCTTCCTCACCAGAGAGCTCTCCCTCTGATGCAGTGATCGACAACGGACATCGGTCGTCGGGAGGAGGACCAAAGGATACCGCTGGTACGCTCTTTCAAGAGGGCCCAGCGCGATCCTTTGGCCAGGAGCCTGGCCCGCAGCTCCGAGATGGTCATCTTCCCGCAATGGGAACATGACTCATCCCCGAACACCACCTCAGCGTGCTTCATGCACAGACACGTGAGGCAGCAATCGTGACCCATCACCCGGCGCCAGGTAACGACCGCATCCAGAAACGCACGGATGAAACGGCATCTTTAAAAAGACGATCCGTCGTCTTTAAAAAGACGCACCCGTGGAGCTCTTTTAGAGAAATTGCTCTTTCAGGGAAATGCTCTTTAAGTGCTGAGGTGCACAGGGGAAATGGCTTGCAGCACAACAGGGGGTAGTGCAGCCTGAAGTGCGCAACCCACTCGACACAGGAACGACCACCGCTGAAGCGCCGTCCGCCAACACCAGAAGCTTCCAACAGCGCGTTGAACTTGTAGCTCACTGAAGACACTTGGATGGAGCAGAACAATGTTGTTGCTCGGCACCGAAGCGAAAAGCTGGTATGCATTGCACCGGCTGCCTTTTTATGCTCACGCTGTGATCAGCGGCAGCTGGATGCAATAATTGCATGCCAATGTGCATTGGCTCGTTTAGTTACACTCGAAGTAGACTGGTCTCTCAAAGCGAGATCCCAATTCGTCAGTCACAACGTGACTCGTAGTGACCGACTGAAAGGGAACTTGATTTTTGCCAGCATAATTCTCAAGTTATGGCATCTACTACCAACTAACTGCTAAAGCTAATTAAACCACAGCTAAATAAACCGCCTCCTACAGAATAAAAAAGGGAGTGGATTGATGCAATGGTAAAACCGCAAAACAAACACTCACTCCAAACTCCCAGCATGCCCAGAAGCGCTATATCTACTCCGCGGGGTTAAAAGATATCAGGACAAAGAACAAGTAAAGTGAGAAGAGAGCTAATGATATTCCAAGTCACCTCCCTTTCTCGCTCCCTCCACCCGGCAGAAAGAGGAATAGGTCTTAAATGTGCATGAGTGATCAATCATGAGTGAAATTACTCTGGATACATTGCACTTTATCTGGACTGGTCCACCAGTGCCGACCGCCTCAGCCAGCCAAAGCCAAATAAAGATTCCCAATGACTCTGTCATATCTTATTAGGTTGAGGGAGTTGCTCACTCCCCACATTCAAAGATGCAATTTTCTTTCATGAGAGTTTATTTATTTTGGAGACCCAATTCAGTTTTTTACTATTGTTATTTATCAGAGCTTTCTTCTATTTGGGGATTAGCGGCAAATGTGTTTACAGTAAGATTACTGCCCTTGACAGAGGACCTCATCCTGATTTAAAGACTGGAATTACTGCTGCATGGGCTGAGAGACAACCCCACCAAACCCTGAGCTCTAAAGGAAAATGAAAAGCATTTAGATACTGTCACATGCTGAGTCTACCAGGCCTTGTAGATATAACGCTAATAAATAAAATGTGACCAGGGCACAGCATGCTAATAGTTTTGGTGAAGGCGAAGTGCATGTTCTTGCCATATCCGGAACAACTAGATCTGAAGTCCTGAGGTGAGTACAATACATAACCAAGCTCCTTGGTGACTTTAAGTCTGTAAGTGATCCGACAGCTTCAAGAGGGAAATGCAAACGTGTCCTGTACAGCAGCGGTCATGTTTTATTCTATAGCTTTGACTATGTTTTGAGGATGATGGCATCAAGAGACAAATTAATTTGCACAAAATACTGAGTTTGACTGAATGCACAATGACAAAATATATGGGATGATTTCGCCTCCTTCAGAAAAGTTAAGAAGTCTATTTATGTTATTATCCATAGCACTGGTCAGAACAGACTAACCACCCATTTTTGGGTTTCGACCCCTGTTACACACTGCTACAGTGACTACACAATTTATTTAACAATATAGTATTGATTTGGAGGTCTTAACTAAACTAAACCAATTTTAGTCATATTTCCAAAACAAATAATGCATTATTTAACTGATGAGGGATTTGAACATACAATCTTGCGGTTCCCAACCCAATTTTTTATCCACCAAGCCACACAACTCACACATGAATGCAACCTTTAATCGCCAGAAACTGAAATGATATATGCACTACATTTTAAGTCTGCTTAAGGATATAAATTCAAACCTCTCAGGTCATGGGTTCGATTCCCAGAGAATGCATGAATTGATCAAATGTATGCATTGAATGCAAGTCGGTTTGGATAAAAGCATCTGCCAAATGCATAAGTGCAAATGTACCTGGAAGCTGCAAAGAAGTTAGTGACCTGATAGCCAAAGCTTGCATAGTAGGCGTGTTCCATAATTGCCATGAGCTGGACACAGTTGTATCCTGAAATGAAATACAAGTGTAGAAAAGCATTTAAATCAGTTTTACAGTCAAAAGACCTTCAACAAAACAAGATCTTCAAAGTGAAACACATCTAAGGTGTAATCTTTGTGTAAGTTGTTATCTTAATATGGATTAATTTCAAGTGCTGCACACTGGAAAATGTAAATGAATTAAAAACATAATTAAAAACGAGTGAAACCAAAGCATAGGATTAAATGTCAACTGCAGCATGATCTGAATCTTCAATAGCAAAACGACAGCATGATAAATTACAATTAAGTTGATATTTTTTATTAAAAAAAGAATATGTGAACAGTGTAAACACTTTCTGTGAATAATAAGCCTGTGATACAATTATATTGATAGATTTTGGTAAAGAATGTCAAAGAAGTTTTGAAACTCCAGTTCCAGGTGGTTTAGGACTTCTCCTTCAAGATCTGTTTCCCAGCCCAGCTGTCCATACCATTGTCCTGAGGCTTAGGTTCACCTCCGAGTTGTTCCTTTAAACTACTATAACAACCAATCCTGTGGAAAACTCTGTCAACACACTCTCACACATAAACCTAAAAGAGAACTGACAGAGGACTGACTTGCTCCTCAACAACTCAACATTACACATCTTTTAATATTAAATAAATGGAGCTATCCTGGGAGTAAGAAGATTTAGATAAATTGATCATTTCTATTGGTATTTTATGGGCACTTAAAACTAAATGTTTATTTAACATAATTAATAGGTTGTTGTTCTAACTGAATTGTGCCATTCTTTTTAATAATTGTGTGTTTCAATTAGTCTTGGACAGAGAACTGAGGTGAAACAGTAATTACTAAAAAGCATTTTTTCCATTTCAATTCACTCAATCTTGCTCCACGGTGTCCCCAACAAAGGTTATTTTGACATTTTTATGAGTCCTTTTATGAAAACAATACCACAAGGCCAATTCCAGGATTCAATAACATCAAATCAAACTGCTGCGAGTCCAGGCAAACTTAAACTTATTACCCCCTCCTTTAACAAGTATCACTAAAGCATTTGTCATAACTGAGATTCAAATAAGTTATCTTTAAATCCTACGCAGGTGCTTTGAGCACCAAAATATACGCATGTTCATCATATCAAAGGGAAAGGTACTGTTAGTGCCATAAAACTTATTTACAAACTCCTAAGGCAGCAAATCAGAATATTAGAATGATTTCTTGAAGAATCACGTGGCACTGAAAACTGGAAAATAGCTGCTCAGAAATATTGAATGAAAATGGCTGCTTAATATCAATCAGTTACTTTAAATTTTAACAATACTTCACAATATTACTGTTTTAATGACATTTTCCAAATATCTTCTTTTGTGAAAGTCATACAGAGAGTCTGTTACAACATGAGGGTGAGTAAATAATGACAGAAGTTTCATTCTAGGATAATATATTACTTTATAAATACAAGTGATGGTCACAAACAACATTTTTTTGGATATAGATGTGTTGTCACTTGCATATCTTGCAGTAATTGTGACTGTACCTGAGAGAGTTACCATTGTTTGCTCTCTCACAGCATAGTGTTAAATAAGCTAGAGTTGCCTTCCTTTGCTTCTGTGATACTTGCATTTAACTCCTTTTGTTTGTCAATCACTTTTTCATGTGGATGTTGATTAAATCATAGTACAAAGGATGCTTTTGTGTCCCGTTCATCTGACTCAGTTCTTCCTCCGTCGCAAAGTCTCTTATCAATGGATTTAAACATCAGACCTGTCAAGCAACAATTTATCATGCAGAACATAACAAAAAATCCCAATGACTCAAGAGAAGGCCATATATAACGTATAATAATATGAAAACCTTATTTTCCATTTTCCTTATTTTTCAGAGGACTTTGAGTAGTGTATTGTGCTTGTGATATTTAACTTTTTATAAAAGAAGCCCATTTCAATGTGTATTTCTGTACAACTAGAAAATTTCTTAAAAATAATTCCCTGAATTTAAACTTTCTTTTTTTGGGGGGTGGGGGACAGGGAGTAAGACATGAAAGGATATAAGGGCACCACTATGTCTAAAACTAGTGCCAAAAAGCTTTTCCATTAGGAGACAAAGTGCAGCTTTGCTTTTGTTGCCTTCCGGAGGGTTGAGAAGCACATTAACTGAGGCACAGAACCCTGGGGAGAGCGCCGATCATGAGAGAGAGCAGTCAAAGAAGCCACAATGACTCACTATTTTAACATCCATTTAAGGGGTGAAAAATAATTTTATGCTAACTAACTATCTGCTTACAAACAGATTTGCTCCAGGCAAAGGTAAATGCTTCAGCCCTCGAGAAAACAAACAACAGAAGGTTATGTTTTATGGATCAAACCAATGCAATGAACACTAATGTTTAAGGTACCTTCTGTAATCCCCACAGCTAAAAAAAAAAACTAATTTGGAACCTTCTGACATCTCTCAGGCTTCCATGTCAAAAGCTCTGTAAGGGAACAATCATGGGAAATGGTTCTCTGTGCAGTAATGGAATCACTCGAGGCGGCAGCTGTTCTCACATCTGCTAACTAAACTTAACAGTTCCGCTTGCGACAGTTAGCATGATATTCCATGTGGAACTGCTTTCTCGCTTTATTTGTGCCATTGTATGCTGTATGCATGATCATTTTAGGTTGCATCTTGAGCTGTTTTCTTAGAAATATGCTCTATAGGATTTTCTTGAGGATGCAAGGAAGGCAGTGCTTTCTCTAACAACATGATGATGACTAATTTGACAAAATATGAGATCAAATGGTGTGTAAATTACTCATGGGACAATGACACAAGAGTGTCTGTGATAAGAAAAAAAAAGAACTATAAACATTTATACCATTTTTGAGAAATGACAAAAGACTCTAAAATGTCATGTGGTGCAACATTACGTAAATCAAATTATTTGCCTTATACTCTGAATACAAGTGTGCAGAACTTAATTATTATTTACAAAAGAAAGTTTTTAAAGTTTGTATTTATTTATTTATGTGACAAATTTTATGAATTATACATTTTTTGGGGGGAGTCGCACTACATGACATTTTACAACTTGAACTAACTTTGCCTTGTTATAAAATAGCCACCTTTTCACATATTTTGAAAGACATACTGACCTTGATACACACTCATGCTGAATTACAAGACTTTGGACTGAATTTTTGCTCAAATATTAATAAGCAGTGAAGCATTTTCTTTTCTAAGAAATAATAATAAAAGATTATCCCAAACTGCTTTTAATAAGGTTTTTACTAAGAATTAAAGTTTTTTTCTTCATTATAATATCAGGACAGTTGTATTATCCTGGCATTTGGGCTTTTTCCACCATTACTCAGCATTTAAAAAAATAAATAAATACATTTTAATTCATAAATTATAAACATGCTCATAAATGGTGTATCAAAGTCTTTGAGTGCATGAATTGCATTTTTAATAAACGAATAAAGGGCCATGCAATGACCCTCATATTTCTGAAGTAACACTCTCCAACAGCTTTTATTTATATTCCTTTGCTGCCTGCTAGTGTAGTGATAAATAAAGAATAAGATAAACACAACCATGCTATGTAACAAAATGAAGACATGCTCAGTCTAAGTGTACATATGGATTGCTCATATGGATTCTTTGATCAGCAGTAAGTTTTTTCTTAAAGATTTCTTCTGGCCTGGGAGCTCAGGGTTAGTGACTGGCCCTTAGAAAGGGGTGTGTTCCACTTTGTTTGGTTTGTATCATTTTGACGTGTGTTTTGGCAGTGTTTCTGTAGGTTTCATCACTCACCAAGATCCTTAATACGAGGAAGCACATCTCTGGTGAAGTTTCTGTACGAGGCAATTTTTTCCTCAGGCGAACTGATGCCTACATGGGCCTCATAGATACGAAGGCTGCTGGGCCGTGGGGGTCTGGGGTGCTGGAACTGGGGGCGAGAAAGAAGGAAGGTTAGAGAGAGAGAGAGAAAGCGCCCAGATATCAATCCACTTTTCTTTAGTGAGCTTTGATGAGAGATTTTGCTAGAAGGTTCTGCTGAGCATCTGGGTTACCTCAAAGACCCTGATGCAACAACACAAATATTTGACTTGATTGAACACTTGCAACAATACAATGGAGACTAAGTTCTCAGTCTAAGCCTAGAGTTTGGAGCTTGAAAATGTAGAAATTGCAACTTAGAGTAAACTTTTTTGTTGTTGTTGTTTATTCAAAGTTTTGTAATCTACAACAATGTAATACAATACAATACAATACAATATAATATAATATAATACATGTGATTAATCTATTTAATTTATTACCATATTATTTCATAAAAAAAAAAAAAAAAAAAAAAAAAAAAGACAGTTTAGCCTATTTTAAAAGAAAATGTCAGTTCTGAATGCAATATCCTTTTAATATTATATTGGCTTTAGTATGGCAATCTTTTCGGTTTTATTGCCAGGCATAACATAGGCAATTACATATATAGGCACACAGGAGTGAAATGCAAAAAAGAAAGCTAAACCAATTGTGACTCACTGAAAAGGGTGCCATTCCAGAAAGCAAAAAGCAATATTTCCTGCCTTTAATCATGCAGCAACCTCTTTAACTGCCAGATGACATTGTGTCACCAATTCATCTCCTGTAAAAAACTGGATCATGAGCATGATGCCATTGACCACAGTCACTGTATGAATGTCTGATGCCATGAATAGATATCAAAGGGAAATATGTCTCATTGTCATTGTGGAAGAACCACCCATATCAAAGCCGTTTGCAAATGGTTCTTCGGCGAAACGAAGACATCAATAGGGCGAAAGCAATTGTTGAATCGCCTCTGATTAAATTGCCTGTTTAATGTGGCGGGCCACTTAAGAGGAGGCGGTTTCGAGTGTCATTACTAACACGGAAGAGGGGTCGCCGTACGAGCAGGGTGCTTCAGAGATGCTAATGGCTACTGATGATAAATGTTCGAGAGCCACAGGGAGGCCTGAACAACATCACGGTCCTGTAAACATTCCCTCCCGCTTTGACTTCTATTGTAAACTACCTCCACCCCAAAAACAAATAGTGACTTTTGAAGGAGATTAAAATCAAATGGGTGTTTCCTCAACCTTTTGGTCCTATGAACATTCAATGAAAAGTAGCAATTATGAATCTTTAATCTTATAAGAATAGTTAAGGTGAAAGGATTTGTATGTGGTGAAACTGGAACTCTTGGTTCTTGGAAGCAGCTATCAGTCGATGATGACTGGTGTGATGTACAATTCTCCACTGACCTTCTGCAGGGCAAAACCTGACTGTAACAGGTTAAACCATGCCAGAGTCCACAACTCAAACCCTCCTCCTTGACAGCTCAGAAAGCATCTGCCTGAACCCGTAACACTGGAAACTTCTGAGAGCATGTGCTCATGTGCAGGGCTGGATTGGTAATCGGGCATACCGGCCATTTTCCCGGTGGGCCGACGCACTTAAGGGGCCGACAGAATGTTTTTTTGTTTTTTTTTTGCCGAGGACCATCACGCAGGGATAGTGAGCAGCCAGTGGCCCATCGGTTTGTTTCCTGTATTGACAGAGTAAACCATCCAATCACAATGCGCTATAGACGGAGCGATGACGTATTTTGCTCCACCTATATAAAGATCGCATCACCCCAACTTCTTCCTCGTCGGCATTTCCCACGTTTTCACAGCAGCATTATCAAGAACAGGCTTGCTCTTCGGTGAGTGATGCGGTCCAAAGAGCAAGGCAGGAGGAGAAGAAGAGAGTAGTTGAATTGTTAAAGTGCTTGATAGGGACTCGCAACGGAGGCAGGAATCTAACCTATCCTAATGTGTGTGCGCGCCGTGAGTGTAGAATACGTAAACACTTTTTAATAAAACGTAAATTTGTCCCCAGCGATTTTTTGGCCAAGTCAAGTCAAGTGTGTTCATAGAGGTTTCCATGGGCCAATGCGAATAAAGCTAGATTTAAATTTAAAAAGACACGATATTGTCGGACCTGACGTTTTATTCTTATCCAAAACAAGATGTGATATGAGTGTGATACACAGGCTACATACATACACTACCAGTCAAAATTTTTTGAGCAGTAAGAAAAATCCAATAGAAAGATCAAAAGATCAGCATTTATCTGAAATAAAAAGCTTTTGTAACATTATACATATACCATTAAAATGCTTGGAGTCAGTATAATTTTTGTTTTTTTTGGGGGAAATGATAGAAATACTTATTTAGCAAGGATGCTTTAAATTGATCAAAAGTGATGATAAAGGCATGTATAATGTTACAAAAAATGTATATTTCAGATATATGCTGTTCTTCTGAACTTTATATTCAAAGAAACCTGAAAACATTCTACTCAGCTGTTTTCAACAATAATAACAAATGTTTTTTGAACGGCAAATCAGAATATTTGAATGATTTCTGAAGGATCATGTGACTGGAGTAATGATGCTAAAAATTCAGCTTTGAAATCGCAGGAATAAATTACATTTTAAAATATATTCAAACAGAAAACAATAATTTTAAATATTAAAAATATTTCACAATATTACTGCTTTTGCTGTATTTTGGATCAAATAAATGCAGGCATGGTGAGCAGAAGAGACTTCTTTAAAAAACATTAAAGATCTTACTGTTCAAAAACTTTTGACTG